ATATATATGGTAGCAATTTAACGAACCGGAAAAATAAATTCTAAAAATACGAATCCAAAAGAAACCAGTGAGAATGTACACACAAACCAATGAGAATGCACATAAAAAAGAAAAAAGAAACGAATTTCATAAATAACTTTAAAACTTTACTTCTAAAAAATAACTTTAATAACCAAAAAAGAAAAAGAAAAAGAAAAAAAAAACTAAGTTACTAAAGGTAATGTCTACGTGGTGTGCGTTGATAAAAAATTTTGCAGTACGTTTTTAAGAAAATATTAGAGACAGAAAAAAATAAAAAAAAATATAGGGGTTGCCTTAAAAATTTATATTATATTTTTTCAATATTCTAACTATGAAATTGAATATACGGCGACCAGATTACGCTATCATATTCAAAAATGAAACAAAAAATAAATTGATAATAGAACAAATTGAGATAACTTTTTACATATTAGTATTTTTGAGAAAAATGTTCGCTGTATTCCATAAAAAAAATCCAGTAAAAAATTTCACTTATCTTCAAAATGTATATTATACTTTTTCAATGTAATTACTATGAAATTGAATATACGGTGACCAGATTAGAACAAATTGTGAGATAACTTTTAACATATTAGTATTCTTTTACAATATGCTTCCTATATTCAATAAATGAATTCAATAAAAAATACCGGTTGTTTTAAAAATGTACATAATACTTTTTCAATGTTGTAATCATAAAATTTTGTTTTCTTTTTAAACAATATGCTCTATATTCTAAAAAATGAATCAAGTAAAAAAAGAGAAAAGATATCGGATGGCGAGTAACGCGCGCCACGTTACGGGGCGCCCGTCACGCGCGCTACCTCTCGTCGTCAAGCGGCTGTTTCGTGCGGATTGCTCCTGCGCTCTGTGAGGGATGCTGCGAGATAAGCAGCCCCGCAGCAGTCGACCAACCCCTCACCCCCTTCCAACCCTCATCTCCTCCCCCCACGTCACGAAGGACGACGCGAGAACAGCAGTGAGAGCCAGGCCGCCGCCATAGCCGCTCCCCGGGCAACGAAGGAGGAGAAACCGTCGAATTTTCTCTCTTTTTTTACCCCTGTCTGTCTGTCTATCTATCTATCTATCTATCTATCTATCTATCTATCTATCTATCTATCTATCTATCTATCTATCTATTTATCTATCTATCTATTTGTCCGTCCATCCGTCCGTCCGTTTTTTTTTAATTCGTCAAATTTTCTTTCTATTTTTATCCGATTTTTCGCATCCATCCGGTCACCGTTCGTACGTTCATTCGTTTGTTCGTTCGTTTATTCGTACGTACGTACGTTGGCTCGGTCGTTTTAACCTTTATTCCTATTCTTATTATAATTATACTTTTTTCATTCTTTCATTTTTTTTATCTGTCTGTCTGTATGTCTACTTGTCTGTTACTGTTGTCTCTTTTTCCCTTACGTTTTCGTGCGTGAGTGTGTGTTTGCGTGATTGCTTGCTTGAAATGTAAACGTTAAATTTTTTTTCCCTTGTTGTATGACCCTCTCCTCCCTCCCCATCATGTCAGATTAAATTGACGATCGTGACTCGTGTTGTTTAATAATCGTGTTTAGAGTTAAACATGGGTTATAATTCATATATCGTAGTATCGGATCGTGTAATGACTATGATAATAATTTTTGATTAAATAATTGCTAAAGGATTTTTCCATTGTTCGAAATTGTTTAGAAAAAGGGAGATTCAGAAAAAGAAAAAAAAAAGAAAAAGATAGATTGATAGAGAGAAAGAACGAGGGTTGTCGTTTTAAGTAGTGCGTGTCAAAAAAGAAAAGAAAAAAAACAAGAAGGAAAAGAAAAAAGAATGAAATTATAATGTGATATTCTGAACAAAGACGAAGTGGTGCAAGCTTACGTGTCGACTACTAGGTGCAGTGTCGAAAGGAAGAGTTAACGGCGCGCGCGAGATGGTGCGCGATAAACTAATACACATACGTACTCACATATGTCGTTTAAATGCGACCAACCAAGAAGAACTTGTTAGATACATAAACGTATAGGTACATATGTGCTTTGTTGATATAACATACGTAATACATAATACATGCACACATATACATATATGTATATTACATGTACGACCAATTTATGAAATTCTCAGTTATTGAGTTTACAAAAAAATAAGATTGGATTTAAAGTAAACAAACAAACGAACGAACAAAAGTAACATAATGTAATGTAATGCAAAAAGAAATTTTTCAATAATTAATTTATATAGGAACGAACGTACGAACGAACGTACGAACGAACGTACGAACGAACGTACGAAGGGAAGGAAAGAAAAAAGAAAGAAATAAAGAAGAAGAAAAAGAAGAGGAGGAACAGGACGAGGGTGTGTGTAGGTTCAGACACGTGCCGAATACCACGAGCCAACCGAGCAACCAACCAACCAATCAACCAACCCCTCGAGTATCGAAAAAAAAGAAAGAAAGAAGAAAACAGGGGAAGGGATGGAGATTAACGGAAGGAGCAGCAATACTAACAGGAGAACTATCGGTGACGATGCTTGGTACATCTACCTGTGTACGTTTACGATACTTTATTTGTATTTTTTGTAGGTTAACCCTATCGTTACGTTAGTTCATTCAGCCGGTAGTAATGACACTGAAAGTAACACCGTGACGAAAAGTATGCACATTGGTTATGTTTCGGTATTTACGTTTTTCAATGTTATCCTTAATGACTTATTTTTTCATGTTCACAATATATTACTTACCTTCAAAATATATATTTTTATAATTGTAGGATTAATCAAATACGAGTTAATAGAATCGAGAAATAATCAACAGATAATATAGAATAGTCTTACCGATTATACTCGACACCCGTACACACAGGTCATCGTGCGGATGCCGGATATAGTCGGCACCCGTAACGAAAGGGTTAAAGAGAGATGTTTTCAAAAAAAAAAAAAAAAAGAAATAAGGGTGAGAACGAAAGACTAACCGCTAAAAATTTCTTTTCTTTGCTTTACTTTCCTTTGCTTTGCTTTCTTTTTCTTTTTCTTTTTGGATTTTACCGAGCCAAACTCGACTCTGGCGCGCCGTTGTCGACATTCACCCCTCCTCTCTGTCTCTCTTATTTTTTTTTATTTCTTTTTCTCGTGGCTTTTACTTTTATGCAAAGCTTCTCGCGAAAGAGAGAGAGAGAGAGAGAGAGAGAGAGGAGTGGAAAGTTCGGCCCTCTTTAAGGAGGCGTTCCCAGAGTTACTTCCGAAGAAGACATCCGAGCTTGCGTGCCCCGAGCTACAAAATATTTACCACGTCCGATCGATGAACCGAGAGAAAGAGAGAGAGAGAGAGAGAGAGAGAGAGAGAGAGAGAGAGAGAGAGAGTAAGAGGAGAAAGAGAGACGAGAAAGAGAGAGGAGACAGTGTCAGTGAGATAGAGGAGAATGTAAATTTGAATTTTACTTTCGCGCGAACTCACAACGATGATCCATAAACTCTCTTTCTTGTTGGCACCTTGTAATCACTGTCTTCCAAAAGGAAGTAACAAGATACTCATTCCATCCTCTCTCAACCACCACCATCACCCTCTAAGAAAAACATTAAACTGTATATATAAACTTAAATGTTTTAAAGTATTATTTAAGCTTTAAGAAAACTCGATTAATAATTTTATCCTTTTGTCGAACGACAAAACAATTCGGGTATAGATTTAACTTCGAAACAATTTTCTCGTTACGAATATTGTTTTATATTTAAAAAAACAAAGAAAACAAAATAAAACAATGTTTCAAATAGTTTTTAAAATGAAACAATTTTGATTGCTACGACAATGAAACATTCTTTTCGTGGTTTTTTCCACTGTCCACGAAAATTTAAAGGGGGACGATGATCCAGTTTACGAGTTAGTTTCGATTATCATCTTCTTATTCTCGTAGCAATTTTCTTCTTTTTTTTACGATCAAGTATCCACAACGTGCGATGTATTTTTTGTTTTTTTTTCTTGGCGGAGGAGGTAGAGGGGGAGGTTTGTTTTTTTTTCGTCCTTTTTTTATTTTTTCCGCAACTGAACCGCATTCAACGTTCGAAGAATCATTCGGCAATTTTCCAGGTAGTCGCGTCTACGACGAATCCCCCCTCCCATTCTCCCTTTACATTGACGCGTTTTGAAAGGAGTTTAGGTACATGTATAGCGCGCCAATAGCACCTTACACATATCATCGTCTATTTTGCGACAGTTTGTATGTACTACCTACACAAATATATATATATATATATATATATATATATATATATATATATATATATATATATATATATGTATGTATGTGTATATATGTATGTATGTATATGTATATATGTATATAGATATATAGAAGAAAACACGCGTGTATCAAACTTCAAAGGGAACGCTTGTTACGTTCCGACCATACATTGGATGCCACTTGGGTTATTCACTCGTTCTAACTTACCTATTTTATTTATTCATATATCCTTATTTGATTTGATATTTTATTCTATTTGATATTATTAGTATTTTTTTTCGTTGATAACGATCTATAATAATATTATTTAAGTATCGATATAATAAATAATTTAATCGAATTAATTGCATAATTTAGTCGGAGGAGGGTAATTGGATTTAATTTATTTCATTAATTATGAATTTTGGCGTAAAAGGAAAAGTAAAAATCTTGAATAGACTGTAAAAAAAGAAAAAAAAGAAAAAATTCAAGAGATTTTTTACACGGGTAAAAAAAGGAAAGATAAAGGAGAGATATAGATAGATAGTGAGATAGAGAAGCAGGTTGAATCCGGAAATCCGATTAAATGCATTCGGAAAGTCGAAAGTCGGTCGCATTAAAATGATCACACTCAAACCATCGTTGAGTATGTCCTTTAGTATTGAAGATGCATCTTTAATTTTGGTCTTTTTATTTTTTTTTCTTGGTGTGTATATGTAAATATGTATTTTTATGATAATTTTATAAGATACGTGATCAAATCTATCTATAAATTTATTCACGTTTATATCCTATGTTTTTTAAATTCTATTTTTTTAGGCTCAATTCATTTGGTAGAGTGGTTTTTTGGTTCAGGGAAGAAGGAAAGAAAGATTAACGGATTTGAGGATCGTCTTATTTTTCCTCATCGAGGGAGGGAGGGAGGGAGGGAGGAGGGTGCTTGTTTAAATATGTTAACCCTTGTGTCAATTGATCGCGTGCAAAGTATTTAAGTAAATACAAAAAAAGAATATATTTATCATTTATTATAAACGTTTGTGCCGAAGCCCTTATGATTGTTATTGCTGATATTATTATTCCCATCCCGTGCTTTTTATTTTACATATTATTATTTTTTTTTTTCTTCATCTTCTTCTATCCAGTTGAAAAAATAATATCTTTATCGACTTTAGCGGCGAGTATTTTTAACCGTCATTGTCCTCGTCTTTCTCGTCATAATTGTCTTCATCGATCGACCGTAAAGATTCTTTACTTTAAGCGAAAAATGAAATAAAATGAAATAAAATAAAATAAAATAAAACAAAATAGCAATGAAATTATTTAAAATCTAAATCGTTTAAAGTTGGACTTAAAAAAGAAAAACCAAAATGATTTTGTTTACGCGAAAATTTTCTTCCCTTTTGTTTTCATAATTTATTTCTTTTTTTTTTTTGTTTATTTATTTATTTTTTTCTGTAAATGAATCATAGAAACGAGAAGAAAGAAAAGGTTGGTTGAAAGGGGACATGATAGTTAGAAGAGTTAGGATAGAATAAAAAAAAAATCGTTTTTGTTAAGCAGTTTAACCGATTAACCGTTGAAACGTGATAGCCTTTTCTATTTTCGAAGGTAGCTTAAAAGGAATAATTAAGGAGTACTAGACGATAGGGTTTGATTAAGTGGATGAGTGCTCTCTAGGGTTGTGTTTAATAGAATCGTGCTTTGAGACGGACGGAAAGGGAAGGATTTTCGTTCTTTAGTATATAAACCAAGAAAGGAGTAAAGAAGGGAGAGAGAAGAGACTACTATTCATCTTAGCATCGTCATTTAGGTTATTCAAATGAAGCGAAACTAAAGATCACGTTTGATTCGTATACATTAGTAGTTATTAATTCAAGGATAAAATAGAAATTAGTTGAACTAAATTTCTACAAATGAAAGAGAAAAAAAGAGAAAGAAAGAGAGAGAGAGAAAAAATAAAAAAATAGTATAAAGAAGGAGAGTTAATCGTTGGTAAAGAAATAATTTATAATTTTTCTTCTTCTTTTCCAAATGAGTGGAAAAAAAACCTTGCAGGTGTTATTAACTCAATTGTGTGTAAAGGTTTAATTAAAAAGTTCCTGGTACAAGTTATATATATATATATATATACGTTTTTATATCATCTTTTAACCTTGAGAAGGGGGCGAAAGGGGAACGGGAGGTATTAGTAGAAAAAATATCACGATAACACGTTTTAAAGAAAAATTTTCAAATCATTCCTTGAATGATGTTTGAGGGTGGTCAAATATCGATAGGGGTATTTTTTGTTTTGTTTTAATGTATCCAGGTAAATTTTCAATTGACGATTCGCGTTTAAAAAAGAGATACCTCTTTATTTCTGTAAGATGATGAAAATAGAATGAGAAAGATAAAAAGAGAGAAAGAGAAAGATATAAAGAAGATAAAGTAAGAAAAGCAGGGAGGGGATAAGAAGATGGTTTTCTTCTTCTCAGGACTCTAGTTCGACGTTATGCTAAAGCCTTCGAGACTCCGATTATTCGATCCAATTTGCAAACTAAATATTCTTCGGAATTGCCGGAGCTTTAAAATGGTCCTAGATGATTCTCCTTTCTATCTTAACATCTTTATTAAGGATTTCGACACGTTTATCTCTATCTCTCTTTCTCATTTTCACGATCATTTCATTTGTAGAATATTTATTGAACTATTCGATTTAATTGCTATTTTATTTCTTTTTATGTTAACATAAAAAAAAACAAATATTTAACAAAGTATGGTCTTTTTACTTTTTCATTTTAATCTTCAATCGAACCAATTTGCATTTATTTATTATTCATATTTTTATATTTTTTTTTTGTAAAATATTCATCAGCATCGATATAAATTGTTCATGACGTGTACGAGTGTTGCATGTTGCTGTTCATTTGAAAAAGGTATATAGTAAAAAGCACAAAATACTGGTGGTGGGGTGGGAGAGGGTTGGGGTTGATGTTGGGGGATGCGACCTTAGTGGCTTCACTGGGTCATTGGCACGAACGTTGGCTGACGTTGAACGCACTCGGCCGACTCGCGTGCCTTCGGTACT